TTCCAGGGGGTAGAATGGCACTCACTAGAAAAAGATGATCCGATCTGCTCTGTGATGAACCGAGAAAGAAGTTCAGCCAGCTGTAGCCACAGGGTGTGAAGGGGAAAATAAGGGTTGGTTTCCTCTCCAGCATTACCCCCTGGGGCCTGCATCGCCCTAGACAAGCACCCAGAAAGCCCGGCTACCAAAGACTTGCAAGGACCCTTGTGGTTCATCTCCTGCAGTTGTTCCATTTGGCAGATGCAGACATGGAAGGTGGGCGTGGCTTGCTGGGCATCGCATTTCCAGCCTCAGGCAGAGATGGAGACAAGAGCCCCGGCAGCCAGGCCCCTAGCCAGGGTTCTCTCCTCTGAACTAACAGGCCTCAAGAGCTCAGGTTTCTGAAAAGTCCCTTGTATAGTAGCAATCAAAACGAATATAGACTTAGGGGTTAAGCAGAGCAGTTCCAGCTTTGCCTGCCCTAGCCATGGGCAGGTATAGCTCCTGTTCTCAGTTTCTTCATGTGTAAAATGGGGTTAACTCCCATGACCCATGTGCATGGAGACTGACAAGAGAGCAGAGTTCAACTATTCTGATCACAGTAAAATGTAACGCATAAAAGTAAAGCGTAAAAGGTAAAGCATAGCTGGGTGCCAGTGGCTCACGCCTGTAATCCTAGCTACTCAAGAGGCTGAGAGCTGAGGATCATGGTTCAAAGCCAGCCCAGGCAGGAAAGTCTGTGAGACTCTTGTCTCCAATAAACTACTCAGAAAACCGGAAGTGGTGCAGTGGCTCAAGTGGTAGAGCGCTTACCTTGAGCTGAAGAGCTCAAGGACAGTGCTCAGGCCAAGTTCAAGTCCCATGAACAACACATACACAAAAGAAAATAGGGGCCAGGTAATGTGGACTGTAATCCTTGCTATCCCAGAAGCAGAGATTAGAGGAGTCAGGATTTGAGGATAAACCAGGCAAAAAATTTCAGGACTCCATCTCAACCCCTGCTCCCCTCCACCCCCTGCTAGTTATGGCAATGTTAGCCTGTCATCCCACCTACTCAGGAAATGTACACAGGAAGACGGTCCAGGTTGGCTCAGGCATAAATACAAGACCCTATTTGAAAAACAAGTCAAAGCAGAAAGTGCTGGAAGAACTGCTCAAGTGTCAGAGCATAGTGTACATGTTCTGTGCACATTACCACCAAAATAACATATATTATTATAGGACAAGTGTGGTGGTTCACAACTTTAATCCCAGCAATTGAGAGGCTGAGATGAGAGGATTGAGAATTTGAGACCATCCTTGGCCACTAGCAAGACCATTCTCAAGAAAATAAAAAAAAAGGAGCATCATAACTACTTCTATCTCCCCCTTGACCCTTACAGGCCCAGATCATTCTCCCGGCTGCTTCCTGGCCCTCTTGCTCTGACAGCAACTTCCCTGGGTAGCACAGAGTTGGGAGTTGTCCCTAATATAAAGCCTGTTTCTAAGCTGGGTAACTTTCTGTAAGCCACTTACCCTCTCTGAAACTCCTATTCTTGATGTGTACAGATCAAAGCCATAATACCCAGTCAGCCTAGGTAGGAAAGTCTGTGAGACTTTTGTCTCCAACTAACCAGTAAAAAAAAGTAGGAAGGCAGGACGCTGGTGGTTCATGCCTGTAATCCTAGCTACTCAGGAGGCTCAGATCTGAGGATGGTGGTTCAAAGCCAGCCTGGGCAGGAAAGTCCCTGAGACTCTTATCTCGAAATAACCACCAGAAAACAGGAAGTGGTGCTGTGGCTCAAGTGGTAGAGTGCTAGCCTTGAGCTGAAGAGCCGAGGGACAGTGCCCAGGCCCAGAGTTCAAGCCCCATGAATGACAAAAAAAAGTAGGAAGTAGAGGTGTGGTTCAAGTGGTAGAGTGGTAGCCTTGAGCAAAAAAGCTCAGGGAGAGCTCCTAGGTCCCGAGTTCAAGCCCCAGGATGGACATCTTAAAAAAAAAGAAAAGAAAAGAAGAGATGAGAAAAAAAGTCAGAGAAATAAGGTTGGGGAAATACTGACACTGAAGTTGGGTTTGATTGCATGAGATCATTAGACTGTTTTCTCTACTTTTATGTGCATCAAATGTTCATTTATAAATAGTAAAAAATAAATAGTAAAAAATAAACAAATGAAGTGAAGGAGACTGTAGTGTAGAGCTCTGAGCCTAGCTATGAGCTGATATTGCAAATTTGTCTCTTCATCTGGCCCATAGCTTTGTAATGGCTGGCAATGATGCCGCTTTAGAATTTCCTGGTTATGATTCTGTCTCTGTCCCTCCCTGCTGGTGAAATGGGCCAACAGAGTCACCTTCTCTGAGTCTCTGCAGATCATCAGCAAAGCTGGAAGGCCATGCTCCCTGCCTTACTGAGTCACTGGGAGGCAGAATGACCGGAAGTATAGAAAAGACTTGACACAATGCCCGGCACATAATAAGCACTCCATAAATGCTTTAATGGGGGAGCACAGATTTGCGAGTCAGACTTGAACCCTAGTTTGGCTCTGTGTGACTTTAGCTGATGAACTCTC